CTCTGAGACAACTTTAAAACTTGATCTGTGAAGACTAGGAATTCTTAATTTTGGATTTCATCATCCCAGGTTACTTCTTTACCCGAAGCCTCCGTTCTCTAGGTCTCCCAGGATAGGAACGCTGTGGTCCTCTTCCTTCCCCTTTTAGGCCTGGCCTCCATTACTGAGTCATGGCTTGTGCATTTGGTATGGTTTTTCAATTTACTCTGCCTCTATCCTGTTCTGCTTCTGTCCCTGATTGTGCCAGGCCTGGATTGCTATATAGTTTCTTTTTCTGACTTCCATTTTCCTTTCCTTTGGTCTGTTTTGGTTGTTGCTACCAGACTGGTCTTTCAGAGGCATTGTTTTATCTGGTTTCTCCTGGCCCTGCAATCTGTAATGACTCCATTGTTTGTTCTCTCAAAGGCCAGTCCTTATGTCTGACCTCCAAGTCCCTGGCAGATCGTCGGTGACCAAAAGTAATAATACATTGCCTGCCGTATAAAATTTAAAATAGTCAAGTAGCAGCATTTAAAAAAAATCCCTTTGTGGTGGCATGTACATTTAGTTCTAACACTTGGGAGGCTAAGACAGAAAGAACAGGAGCTTACCTGGATTATATTAGACTATGTCCTATTAGCTTTGCTAGTACATTTGAAAATATTTTATTCTTCAATTACATAAACGTGTGTCTATATGTGGATATGTGCCTATGAGCCCATATGCCCTCAGAAGCCAGAGGGGGACGAGCCTGCGGAGCTGGAGTTACAGGTGGTTGTGCACATGGCTGTTGGAATCCAGCTTGTATCCTCTACAAAAGCAGTATGCGCTCCTAACCACTGAGTCATTTCTCCAACCCTTTATTAGTTTATTTTAACCGAATGTGTCTCAGAGGGTATCATTTTAATACAATCAGCATAAAATGAATACTGAGATTTTGCATTATTTGCTGGCGGAGGCGCTGTTCTCAAAACCGCGTGTGTAGAGCTGGGGAAGTAAGTCTGTGGTAGATTCCTTGCCTGGCATGGGAAGATCCCTGGGTTCTGACCGCGACACCACGCAAAGCTCCTATATGGATTCCGTTCTTATGCCACATCTTGATTTTGACTCTGCGCATTTCAAGTGCTCCATAGAGTAGCCACATGAGGCTCTACTTGTCATCATTGCTCCTTCCACAAAAAAGAACCAAATCTCACCTCTTCCTTGCTTGTTTGAACAAAATAGAATGATAATGTACCTATTTGGGTGGATTGTTCTGAGCCATTATGAAGCATGAATGTACTTTGTAAGCATAGTTCTGCAAGAATATGGAAGTGCTGGGCAGTGGTGGAGCACACCTTTAATCCCAGCACTCGGGAAACAGGCAGGTGGATCTCTGTGAGTTTGAGGCCAGCCTGGTCTGCAGAGTGAGTTTCAGGACAGCAAGCTCCAAAGCTATAGAGAAACCCAGTCTTGAAAAACCATATATATAATTTCACACAAGAGTAGAATGTCTTAGAAGTAGAGTCATTTGAAAGAAATGCCTGGTTGGGGATACAGCTTGGTGGTATACTGCTTGTCTAGCATGCATGATGCCATAGGTTCAGTTCCCAGTCCAGATAAAAGAAACATTAGGGGTTGTGGCTCAGTGGTAGAGTGTGGACTTAGTATTCAAGAGACCCGAGTTTGAATATCTGTACTTTGAAAAGAAAAAGACACATTAGCTGTCCTGGATTGAACTGTAAAAGCTATAACCTCGAGCAATGAATGGAGAATATTAACATGTACTTTCTCCTGCTGTTTCTTTATAATGGCTTTTTAGAAAGGAATTAGTTATATTGTTAGTGTTTTCTAAATTTTAAAATTCTTATCTTCTAGCCCTTCTTCTTTATGGAAAACAGATATAGGGCCATTTACTTTTTTTTTTCTTGAAGTAGGATCCAGGCAGCTATCAAGAAACCCCTTGCTTTCAACACATTGTAGCACTCAAGTATGAAATGACATTAAAATTTTTTCATATTGTTCAATTCAATATAAAGGCTAAAAATTGACCTAAAACAGATGTTAGATATTTAGACATTGAAACCATTTGTACAATGCTTTCAAGCTGTGCTATGGAAGGAAATGTTAAGGAGTAAGTATCCCGACAAATAGGTGTGTGAGTGGTAAAAGCAGGAGGCGTGCAATTTTTTAAGTGCCAGAGAGTTGGTCCCCTCTGTCAACTCCTTTCTTAACCCGCTGCTGGTGATCAAACCCAGTGCCTCGTGCAAGCTAGGCGAACAGTACCATGGCCCTACATCCCTGTTGGTTTGTCTCCCTATTTTGTTTCTTGTTTGACTGTTTTTGAGACAAGCCCTCAGTTTGTAGATTAAGCTGGCTTCAAGCTTTCAGCCCTGCCTCAGTCTCCTGAGTGCTGAATTACAACGGTGCACTAGTAAGCCCAGCTGCCCATTGAAATTGGTAATAGCTATTGGTTTATTTATGTATTTAGCCGTGTACCTGCGGGGCGGGATGTGAGCATGCCACAGAGTACGTGTAGAGGTCAAAGGGCAGCTTTTAGGAGGTGTTTCTCACCCCACCATGTGGGTCTTAAAGATTAGACTCAGGTCATCGGGCTTGGCAGAAGGTGCCTTTAGCAGCAGAGCCTTCCCCCTCCCATATTTTGTTTATTTATTCATTTGTGTGTGTGTGTGTGTGTGTGTGTGTGTGTGTGTGTGTGTCATGGCACGCATACGCAGGTAATAGGACAACGTCGGTCGTGGGACTTGAGCTCAAGCCGCGAGGCTTGATGGCAAACACTTTTCCTCTCAGAGCCATCTTGCTCCCTCCTTTTGAGCTAAGTCCAGCTTGGCCTTTGGTTTCATTTGTAGTCTGGCTGCACTGTCTCCTCCATATGAGTGCTGGGCTTCTAAAGCATGTCCTACCACATTGGACAATATTGGTGAGTTTTGAAATGATTTCCAAATTAGGACAGTCATTTCTCTTTAGTCACGCCTGTCCTCTGGCCTTTTCCGAGTTCAACACTCAATATAGGTAGAAAGGTAAATTTGTAGTGTTACTAAGACTACTGACTGAAATAAAGATTCCATTGTTCGTGTTTTCCCAAGCTGGAAACCCAAACCTAACGCATGACATCTTTGCTCTCATCCATCCCAGTAAATTCAGCACTGAATCCATCCAACTCCACCACCTCTTGAAGTCCTTCACTAGTCTGCGATCCCCTCTCCTCCTCGCCGCCCTAGCCCAGGCTGCCGCCCTGGCTCAGGCTTTCCTCACTTCTGCTCTTAGCTGCTGCAACAGCCTCCAAACCAGTTTTCCTGCCTCAAGTTCCAGTCTTCCCTCCACCCCTCAATTTAGTCTCCAGCTCCTAGCAGACCGATCTTGCTAAAATGCAGATCTGATCAAACCACTCCCCTAATTAAAAAGAACACTGAGTTCCTCTTCCCAGGGCTGCAGATGCAATCCAAAGTCCTGAGTGTGCTGTGCAAAGCATTTAATAATCAGAGCCCAAATTATCCCATTAGCCTTGACTTCAGCCGTATAGCCTCTCCAGAGCACTAATAATGTTATTAGTGCTTCTCCAGCAAGATCATCCTTTTAAGAACTGTTCTCTTCTTTTGATGGTCCTTTCGACTTCTCACATCAATGAGACATGTCATCTTCAGGCTTGTCCTAATGTCCTTTTTTCCCTTCACACTGTGCTCATTTGTTCTTTTAGCTTCTGTGTCTTATTGTGCTTTCAGAGACGATGAGACTAGAACAGTGTTTGCTGTAGTTGTATTGATAATGGGCATTATGACTTTAGCTAAATAGTAAATATAAATTACCGGGTTCATCCCTGTATTGCTTCCTCTTTGTGACTAACTGTGACTGCCCTGGTTAGTGTAACTTCAGGGTTCAGCTTATCATCCTTGTCCTCGGTATCCTCCAGACACAAGTGACTGACATTTGCTCTTCCATGTGGCCAGGCTGCGCCATCTGCATTCACCTTCGCTGACACACTCCTCTGTGACTTACTAAAAGCTGCCACCGCCGTCTTTTGACTTCTCTTCTTGGACTTCACTGTTGCTTTGTTTTATAGTCACTGCTGACCGGGCAGTACAATCCTTTCCTTCCTCCAATTCTGCCGACTAATTAATCACAGCAACAGTTGACTGTTGACCTTGAGGTTTTGGCTCTCTGCTGCTATTTATAGCTTTTGGGGGTGTCTAGAAGCCGTTACTTCATTGCAAAACCTTTTCTTTTCCTTCTTATTCTAGATTCGGGACTTTCTGAATCTTTAATTGTGCCAACGGGATTGTCTCCCAATAAATATGGCTGTTTTATTTATTTGCCGATCGATTGGTTTTTAACTATGTGTGTTTATGTGTGCTTGCTTGTCTGTACATGTGCCACACATGTGTGCAGGTGCCCCCAGAAACCAGAAGAGGATGTTGGTCTCTAGGAACTGGAGTTACAGTGAGCTGATAGCCCCCCAGTATATGTGCTGGGAACCAAACCTGAGTTTTCTGCAGGAGCAGCAGGTGCTCTTAATCACTGAGCCATCTCTCAAGCCACTCTATGTGTATAGTTCTGTACTGTCATTTAAAAGGGAAGCTTGCTCAAGAAGAGTATTAGTTATCACAATTCCGGTAGCTCAGACCCTCAATGACCTCCCCCTCCATCAAAGACAGTGCATTTACTAAATAATTGGTGCTTACTCTGCCCTTACCCCAGGCTTGAGATGAGGGGGTTGATGTGTGTCAGTAGGTTTGGCTGAGCCTCAATATAGATTACCTTCTTGAAACAAAGCCCTCCTGCTTGCTATCATGAATGAATGTATTGTTTGCTTGACTTCTTGCTTTTGATCATTAAAGTTAGTAGAACTTTTGCAAAGTGACTGCTTACTTTGCTTCCACTTGAATAGTTGAGATATAGAATGGAATTAGTTTAAAGAGGGATTAATTTGTCAGAGGCTTGATACTGTGTTATTTAGTCCTTATTTGCGTTCTATCTTAATGGTTGCATAATTGAGGATTTCTTTGTCAATGTTTGCTTTTCAGGCTGGTTGGAAGGAAAATCACGCCACATTCATGAACGAACTGAAAAATCTTCAGGCTTCTGGACTGACCACTCTTGGTCAGGCTCTAAGATCCTCATTCGATTTGCTAAATCTCAATAGATTAATATCTGGAATAGACAATTATGGACAGGTAACAATTTTTGAGTGAGTACAGCTAATTTATTTTGATGACTTAGGGTACGAGTGCAAAATTTAGGCAAGACTTGTGCTATCTGTAGTGTCAACCAAAAAGAGGTTCATGCGCCTTTTAGATGTACATTTCATAAGAATCACAAAGCAAATGCAACTTTTTTGGTTCCTTTTTTTTCTTCATTTTTCTTTTGCCCTGGCTGTCCTGAAACTTGCTGGGTAGACCAGGTTGGTCTCGCACTCACAGAAAACCACCCGCCTCTGCCTCCTGAGTGCTGGGCTTAAAGGTGTGCGCCACCACAGCCCAGCCCCGGTCAACTTTTTTTGGTTCTTAAACATCAACTCATCAATAGATTTTATAATAAATACAATTTCTTGTCATTTGATCATCAGAAATCTGAGACTATGCTCAGGTGCTGCAAAATGCTGGAAGGTGTCAGATGGAGACAGACTCTTCTGTCTCTACTTCTCCCTTCCTCCCTGCACACCCCAGACCTAATATAAGACTTTTAAAGCTCTAGATAAAAGAAGAGGTCAGCGAAGCACTTGCTGCTGCCACCTTTGTTCTTTTCTATCCTAAACGCTCTGCTCAGTATATCCCCAGACATGAAGTCCAGGCGCAGAGCCTATACCACAGGTGTCCCCTAATCTGTGCCAAGATTTGAACTCAGGTGAATGGGTTGACGGGTATGGGTGAGGCTTTTATTTCTTATTTATCAAGGAAAACGTTGTAATGTTTGAGGGATCATTGGCCAGGCAACTGTCTTAGTACAGTTGTATGGCATTACCCGGCTCTAACGCTTTCTAAATGTGTTTTAGGGGAGAAATCCGTTTTTCTTGGAGCCGTCTATTTTAATTACCATCACAGATGGAAACAAGCTAACAAGTACTTCTAGCGTTCAAGAAGAGGTGAGATATAATTTTTTTTAATTTTATCTAAATAGCACAGAACATAGAGCTATTTCTGTGGGAGGCATGTATTTCCAGTTAAGAATAAAGTTTGCCCAAATCTATCTTGGTACTCCTTGAGAGATGGCTTAATTCTATAGCATTCCATGAAAGCAAAGTGAACCCTTTAACTCTTAACTCTTTCTTCTTCTTTTTTTTTTTTGTACGGGTTGTTATGATGAACCTTTCCAAATTTTGCCTTATCAGCTTCATCTTCCTTTGAATTCTCCTCTGCCTGGAAGTGAACTAACCAAAGAACCTTTTCGTTGGGATCAAAGGTTATTTGCCCTGGTGTTGCGCTTGCCTGGAGTGGCTTCCACCGAACCAGAGCAACTAGGGAGTGTACCAACTGATGAATCGGCCATCACACAGATGTGTGAAGTCACAGGAGGTAACGGCTGTTGTTTCAGGTTTCCAAAGGAAGAATTTGGGGTAGGAGAGTATAGCCCTTATTAAATGCCATAGCTAGTCTTGGGTTGTTTGCCTTTACAGTCTGTGAACCCTGCTGCTTAGGGTCATTGTTCATACCACATTCCTGCTAATGTAGTTACGATTGTTCTAAATCCTATTTTAGGCTTTCAAATACTTGTATTATGGACCACTGTTTGATTTGATGAAACTTGTGCTCTTTATTTTTCTCTCTGGCATAGGTCGCTCCTACTGTGTAAGAACACAAAGAATGTTGAATCAGTGTTTAGAATCACTAGTTCAAAAAGTGCAGAGTGGTGTAGTTATTAATTTTGAAAAAACAGGGCCAGATCCGCTTCCTGTTGGAGAAGGTACAGTAATCATTTTTCAGCAACTATACTTTTTTACCATAATATATTGTGTGGAAGAATAAAGATATTAAACACGTGGCAGTGGAATCTTCAGTACCCTTGTGCATCCCAGTCCTTATGAGCATACATCTAAACAACCAATGTTTGATCTTCACCCATGCATGTGTTAGGTGGGCAAATTCTCGCAACGTCCACCTCATGGCAAACATTGTCCTAAGAAAATTAGTACTTTTTCTAGCCCTAGTTTTTAGTTAAAACTGATTCATTTGTCAATCTCCTCCCAGAATATTTGGATATCTAGTATGGTATGTCACTTGAGTAGTGATCTGATTTGGCTCTTGTGATCACTAAATATGTTAAAGTATCTTCATGAAATCTCTGTTAAGCCAGGTTGTGATGGCACACACCTTTAATCCCATCTATGGGAGGCAGAGGCAGGCGGATCTTTGTGAGTTCGAAGCCAATCTGGTCTAGAGTGAGCTCCAGGACAGGCTCTGAAGCTACACAGAGAAAAACAAACTGTCTTGAAAAAAACAAAACAAAACAAAAAAAGAAACGTAGAAATCTTTGTTAATTACCATTCCACAGCAAAAGAGTGTGAATGTGTATTCAGGAACTTACAGTATTCTGTAAGGTTGTATATTGGTATTTTCTTGACCATTCTTTAATTGCAGAATGTTTTGTTTTCTCTTCAAATGAGATCTTACAGAAAATATGGCATCTAAAAGTGCAGAATCATTGGCTAATTTTGCATAAGGAAGTTAAACCATAGTGAAGCTCCAGATGGTTTGTCAAATGGATGTTTCTGAATGGGTTTCAGAAGGATCAGGGGGTTACTAAATGACATTATGGTGATACCGTCCAGGACTTCCTTAAAGCGCTCTTCTTTGTTATTGCTTCTCCATTGTCTTAGCATGGGTGTGTGCACACACACAGTACACCATACCACACCACACACATAGCACGCCATACCATACGACACACACACAGCACACCATGTTATAACACACATATATACAAACACACACACACACACCATACTGTACCACATCACACACATATACACAAACACATACACCACATCACACACACAAGCTCACAGCACACCATACACACACACACACCACACTGTACCACAACACAGACAAACACACATATACACACCAGACTGTACCACACCACACATACACACAAACACACAGATAGCACACCATACCACACCACACGCATGCACACAAACATACGCAGCACACCATATCACCTTGCACAGATACATACAAACATACACTCCACACACAAACACACATATACACACCACACTGTAACACACCACACACAAACACACAGATAGCACACCATACCACACCACACGCATGCACACAAACATATGCAGCACACCATATCACCTTGCACAGCTACATACAAACATAGACTCCCCACAAAAACACACATATACACACTACACTGTAACACCACACACACAAACACTATACCACACACACACACACACACAAACACTATACCACATACACACACACAAACACATATCCACACAGAGCACACCATACCACACCACACATACACACACAGACCAAGAGACTGAGAGAGAGACCTAGAGACCAAAAAACTAAGATTTCATTATTACCATGCATGGTGTTTTGTTGCCCTGATTGCCTTTGGTAAGACCAAAGGGATTCACTATCCATGGCAAAAAGGGATACAGTTTTCTTTACTTGTTTTACTCTTTAGGCTTTGTATCCCTTTGAAAAACTGTTGGAAAAATCTAGATTCCTTTCCCTGGAGAAAAGGGCTTAAGTCACACACATAATGTTTTATGCCTAATTTCAGGAGTTTCCTGGATTCTTAAGATAAGACTATCTTAATAGCCAGGCAGTGGTGGCACACGCCTTTAATCCCAGCAGTCGGGAGGTAGAGTGGATCTCTGAGTTTGGGGCCAGCCTGGTCTACAGAGCTAGTTTCAGGACAGGCTACAAAGCAACACAGAGAAAACCCTGTCTTGAAAATACCAAAAAAAAAAAAAAAGGACTATCTGCCAAAGGAGACTGGGGCCTCACAGCGTATATTGAACCAACCATACAGGGAAGGGTGTGCTGTAGCGCTGGCAACCGACTGCCCACCCATCATTTTCTGTTTACTGCCTTAACATGAACAGGAACGGAAATACTAGCTGCATTTGCTGTCACATAAGTAGCTCAGATTTTCTTTCTGTTGCCAGTTTTTCCTTTGTCCAAAGTTCTGTAGACTCAAAGAATCCGATAAAAGGAAGTAATACTTACTCAGAAAGATGGACATCCCTAGCCTTGTGTGCCCAACTTCAGAGGGATTCTCAAATGTATTTCTATGTTTTTGCTAGAGCCTGGTGAATCCCTGAAAAATCTCCTGATCTGAAGTAATTACTTTTTTAAAATAGTGCAAAAATAAGTAAATCAGATCTTCTGGTATTTAAGAAAATTGGCACCCAAGTAACTAAAATGTCCTCCTAATTGTAATTTAGACTAGCAAATCATGGCATAAGGGTTTTTTTTTTCCAAAAAAGCAAGCAAATTTAAATAATTAAATAATTAAAATGCATTAACGGTGTATTCCTCTGCATTATATGTGGTCAGATTACATAGAATTTTGATGGTGCATGGAAAAAATGGGGTGAATTTTTTCATAACAACCTTGATCCGTTTGTTTTATATTCCCCACTTCCATGTACACACAGATTATACCACCAACATAGTCTCGAGTTTCGAGGACATTTAGAAAGCGTATGTTTTGTTTTGGGGGTCATTGAGTGTAGAGCAAAAATGGAATTCATGATCTATTTTGCGGGATCCCAAAGATGTGAAGACTACCCCAGAGAACAAATGATTTCAGTTGCCTAACTTGGTAAATAAGTTCTTGAAAAATGACCGTTGTATTGTGATGTGCTTAGTTTTTGTGCCCAGGTCTCAAAAAAATATAAAACTAGTTTTGCACTTGTTTTCCACACGACTTCATATTTTCATAGCACATTAAGAATAGTGAGAGGCATGGAGTTCAAGGGCAAATTAGATTAACATTCTCTCTCTCTCTCTCTCTCTCTCTCTCTGTCTCTGCCTTTTCCTTCTTTCATTTTTCCTAAGCCATATTTTTTATTTCAGTTTGTCCTTTGCCTGAAACTGAAAGTTGTGCACAAGAAGATGAGAAACTGTAAAAACAGTCATGCCTTCTGTCCCGTGTTTCTCTTGCAGACGGACTGATGGATCTGTGTAGGCCAAGCAACTTATTTGCTGCCCAGCCATGGCATAGCTGCCATAAACTCATCTATGTGCGACCTAATTCGAAAACTGGTGTTCCTGTTGGACACTGGCCAATTCCAGAATCTTTTTGGCCAGAACAGAATTTACCTTCACTAGTAAGTATTATAAACAAAAAGGGTAAGCACCGATCTGGCTTTTTAATTTTAGTACAATGAAGCTTTTGAAACAGCTCGAGGCTTTTACGCTGTGCCACAGACCAGTAGACTGCAGTCTTTTGGTTCCCATCTTTTATTGAACAGCTAGTTCTATGCCTTAAAGCAAAGGAGGAAGATCTCCTTTATTTTGTCATACTTTTTAGTCTTTTGTACTGCTACCTTTGCCATGTGGATATTAAAGCATTGCTTTTATTTATATTTTTGTACATTTACTTGGTGTGTGTGTAATCAAAGTTTGAAATATTTTTATTTATTTTTATAGTTTATATAAGAAGCTATTTTTGGATATGGCTATTTTGATGCATTTGAAAGCAAATTAGGAGAGCATGATTTTAATGTCTTCTTCCTCCTAAAAGATACATTTTTCCAAGTAACATTCACACTGTTTTTTTTGTTTGTTTGTTTGGTTGGTTTTTTTTTTTTTTGAGACAGGTTTCTCTGTGGTTCACACTATTTATTTATTTGTTATTTGCTTTGCTTGTTTTGTTTTTTCATGGCAATGTTGGGAGCTGAACCTAGGGCTTCACACATTCTAAGAGGCTATAGCCCTATACTGAATACGTCATCGTGTTTACTGTGGACAGTATGATGAAAAATAATGGAAGACTGGTTTGTGCAGTTAATGTTGCTTCAAAGCATGAAAATGTAAAAATGGGCAGTTGGCAGCTGCTCTCAATGATGAGAGCAAGAGAAAAATGTGAACAAACAGCTGTCTTCTGTCCTTGAATGGAAGTGCAGATAAAAATATGTGGGCTTCCATTTAGATGCACTTTCATTTCTTCCTCGCTGGTTCCTTTCGGTTACCTTAGAGTATTATTCATTTTTCAAAATTCGCTTGCAAAGTAACAGGCTTCCTTATGCTGTTTTCACACACGCTTCATTTTGGTTGAGGGTCCTGTGTTCCTCTTTAACAGCCCTTTGCCCTGTCCCCATGTTAGCCTTTTGCTCCCAGAGTTCCCCCTTCTATTTTAATAGCTCGTGTATTCTGTTGCCTTCGCCACCTTGCTTCTTTAAGGCCTCTTCTTTCCCCATCTGATGGGCTTCCTAGTTTCCTGGCCCTTACCTACCTAGCTCTCCTATCTAGACATGCATATTTAACCATTAAAAACTGGGATTCACTGTGAGAGAGAGCATATGTCTTTCTGAGCCTGCGTTACCTTGCTTAATAAAGTGTTTTCCAGTTGCACCCATTATCCTACAAATTGGACAGATTCATTTTTGAGGGGTGTTTTGAGACAGGGTTTCTATGTATAGCCCCAGCTGTCCTGGAGCACACTCTGTAGACCAGGCTGGGCTCAAATTCACAGAGAGCCACCTGCTTCTGCCTTCTAAGTTCTGGGATTAAAGGCGTATGCTAGCACACCTAGCGACAGTTTCATTTTTATGGCTGAAATTCCATTATGTATCATTTATCCATCTATTGATAGACAACTCTATTGATTCCATGTTATTAATCGAAGCACTTTGCTTTCATATGAATTCACATTTGTTTTTTTAACTTAAGAAGGGCTCTCACATTGTAGTCCAGGCTGACTTTGAACTCACAGCTGCTCTTACTCAGTTTCCCAAGTACCCTGGTGAGCCATTTACTTTTCAATGATTAGTAATTATGTAATGCTTAGAAAATTATCTATAAGCAAAGGTTTGTCTTCTTGTAACTGCATTTGGTAGAAGAGAATTGAATGTCATAGTTATTCTTAGTACCAGTTGAATTGACTATTTTTCAGGGATAGTGTTTAGGAAAACACTCTGCTCCATGTCCTCAAGGAAAGAAGGCCTGAGCAGTTCCTGTGTGGTCCCTGGCTAAGGATGGGGAATACAACCCTAGCATTGCTCCTCTAGTGCGCGACTTGCCTGATTCAGGTTAATTTGCATTTTAGGTTCTAACAATTTCCACAGTGACTTGTATTTTCTCCCAGGCTACTGGTTTGGGCTTTTAGATTTTCAGAAGTCATACAAGGCTTGAGGAACAGACAGCTTTTAATCGACTTGTATGGGTGAGGGAAACTATTCCTCTTCTCTCCCCCAGGGCTCTGAGGTGGTAAACCTGTCAGCCCATCGCCCTTTCAAACCCCTTTAGTGGCAGATTTGTTTCATTGTTGCTAGCAAGGGAATTTCATCCAGGTGTTTGTCTATTTTTTTTAAAGATATTCAGATCTAAGAAATCAGAGACAGTTCACAAGACTGACTAAAACTGAAAGAAGGGAAAGCTAAAATCATAGAAATTTCCAGTAACTTATACACAGTTTGTGTTACCATACCCCTGCATGTAGTTCACTCAAGAGCCGTTTTTGTCAACTCTCAAGCATTTATAAGTTTATAAATGATAAAGCCAAATGCATTCGTTTCCCCTTTGCATAAAGGAAGGCAAGCCACTTTCATCATGCTTGTACTGGCCTCCCACCTTTCTGAGCCCTTGCCCCCCCTTTCTCTACTTAGACAAACCTGGTGATAAATTCACTTCTCCCTTAGTCTACTGTGGTGCCCCAAACACACAGACCTTTGAAGTTTCACCCAAAGCACCCTCAGTTTCAGCTATTCAAAACAAACCTGTGGGTATGAGCAGTGCTACAAAATCCCTTTGAGGCCCTGAAGTTGTGACCAGGGCATCTGAGTATTATCATTGTGTATGTTGTCCTTCCGTACCTTTGCTGTTTTTCCATTTGCTTCTTAGTAGCCTAAACTCATTAGAAAAGTCCAGAGGTTCTCCTTGTCCAGTGGTATCTCAATTATCTAACCTCCTGATATCGAAGACCGACACTCATGAATGCTTAAAGCTCACAAAATGGGTTTGAACGTGAGAGTCCATCATATGGACCATAAGGGTTACTTTAACACAATCAATGCAGTTATTACGTCACTGCAATTCTAGCTCTGCTTTAGCTCATCTTCCCTCTTCCAATCCCAAGTAGGAGTCAGAGGGGAAGAAAGTTGTAGAAACTCTTAAAATACTAATCTGTATCTTAGTGATGGTTTGCCAAAAATGTAACCGGGCTTTCAGAATGGTTACAATTGTGCATTTGCTTGATATCTGATCGTATTTCCTCCTTTTTTTTTAGCCTCCACGAACATCTCATCCTGTTGTGAGGTTTTCTTGTGTCGATTGTGAACCAATGGTTATAGATAAACTGCCCTTTGACAAATATGAACTTGAACCTTCTCCCTTAACTCAGTACATTCTGGAAAGAAAATCTCCTCATACTTGCTGGCAGGTAGCTATCCTTACCTACTATCCAAATGTCTATACTCATTCTGGAAATTGGTTATAAATTGTGTGTGTGTGGGGGGGGGCGTCTAGAGAGATAACGCAGTAGTTAAGAATGCATACTGGCCAGGCGTGGTAGCCCAAGCCTTTAGTCTTAGCACTTGGAAGTCAGAGGCAGGCAGATCCCTGAGTTCAAGGCCAGCCTGGTTTACAGAGTAAATTCCAGGACAGCCAGGACTAATAAGGGTCTGGTGAGATGGCCCAGTGGTTAACAACACTTAATGCTCTTGCAGAGGATCCAGGTTCAGGACTCAGCACCCACGTGGCGTGGCGTGGCATGTGGTAGCTCACAGCCATCTCTAACTCCAGTTCCTGGGATCTGATGTTCTCTTCTTGCCTCCATGAGCACCAGGCATGCATGTGGTATACATACATACATACATACATGCAAAATACACATACACATAAAAATAAATAAAATCTTTAAAAAATAAGAACTGTAAAATCTTTACAAAAATTATTTTAAAATGTTTTAAATTTGGTAATAATTACATTGTATTTTTTAAAGGCTATCAAACAACATAGCCAAGAGAATAATTTTAGAAAGGTATGAACCATTAACATACTGTACATTGCCATTTATGGAAGTAGAATCTGACGAACCCATGCATTCAAGGAGCTGGGGTTGGGTAGACCCATTCTTATCTGTTCCCCAGGTTACGAATCATTAAGCTATGGGGTGTGATTCGATTAAGGTATGAGCAAGACTCTCTGGCTCTTATTTTGAACTTGAGAAATGAGAAGTCCTGTATATTTGGGGCCAAGAACCAGAAACTCGACATTCCTTTATGCATGAGTATAATGCAGTGAGACAGTAGTGTGGTTAGTAGAAGCCTCACTGATGGGTTGGTCAACTGGGATTTTCTGAGATGAGCAAGTGCAGGGTACCATACGCTCGCTCTTCTAAGTGCTGTGTTGCAGTCAGAAGGATCTGCTCATGGTTTCGTAGATTTGTCCATGGGTTTGACTTGTAAAATTCTAGACTTTTGAAATCGTGGCTTTTTTATTTAGATACAAAAAAGCTCCACATTACAAGGATGTTCATTCTATGACTGAGCTACAGGACCAGTCAGTTATTTTTAGGTTCTCTTGACACAGGGAACACTTTCAGAAACTTACCTGTTTTGTTCTAAAATGTGAGACCACTGATGCACTGTATCTATAAGCTACTTTAATTCTCTTAAGATACTAAGGCTAGTTCAAAAGAAAAGGAACAAGTTTGAGTCAAGGATGTGAAGGGGTAAGAAACAAAATTTCAAAACTACAGGGTGGTGGTGGCATGTGCCTTTAATCCCAGCACTCGAGAGACTGAGGCAGGCAAGTTTCATGGACAGCCGGGATTGTTACACAGAGAAAATCTGGTTCAAAAAGAAAAAGAAATTTAAAAAGTTTCAGAACTACAATACTGAACAGAAGCCAAACAAAAAAGATTACCCATTGTATACTTGTACTTTTCTCTATTCAGACAGCTGAAATGAACTTCTCTGTCAGAAGGCAGAGTAGTGTTTCCTCCTGAGGGTTGCAGGGTAGTGGCCAGAAAGGGAAGGAAGGAGTTGCCAGTCTTGCTGGGTTTCTTGACGTAGGTCGTTTTTCTGGAATATTCACCAAGCCATGTACTTGCTTACCCCTAAAATTCTAGAAATGTAGACAATAGAAGACTAACTTCTTCTTTTCAATACTTTGGTTTGAATTTCTACAACAGAATTAAATAAAATTACAAATCACATCTTTTCTCTCAAATAAACTTTCATTCTATATAGCATACTCCTTCTAAATCTTCTTCAAAGAAACCCGAGAGGGGCTTGAGAGATTGTTCAGTGGTTAAGAGCACTGACTGCTCTTCCAGAGGACCTGGGTTCAATTCCCAGCACCAACATGGCAACTCACACTTGTCTGTGACTCCAGTTCCTGGGCTTCTGATACCCTCATATAGATAGATATACATGTAGGCAATGAACACAAAATAAAAAATAAATTATAAAAAAAAATTAAAAAAAGAAACCTGAGAAATCTGTCCTGACTCCTCCACAGCCTCTCAAATGTCATAGTCTTTGTCCTGATCTTGTAGTATTCTGATCTGATTGATCAGTGGGACTGAATAAGAACAAACCAGGAGCGAGGACGTTTCCTAAGACCTTAGTAGAGAAGGTATTCTCTAGAGCTGGGAGAAGGCTCGCTCAGGGGCTTGCCCACATCTGCTAGGACTGCAGTTCAATCCCCAGCACTCATTTAAATGCTCATCAAGAACATGTAGCTGTCATTCCAGCCTAGAGAGCTAGAGACAGGGCACTTGGAGTTCTCTGGCCAGCCTGGCCAGCTGAATTGTTGAGCTTCAGGTTCACCGAGAGATCGTGTCTCAGAACATAAGGCAGAGAGCAATTGAAGACAACGCACAGCGTAACTTCTAGGCCTCTACACACGTCCATACATGTGCACTTATAAATACATATGCACCTGCACTTACACACACACACATTTGGTTTTTTCTTTACTTTGCATGATGCATCATTTCTCCTTCTTAGGAAACAAAAGACACTCTATTTTATTATAGTTGTCTGTTTAAAGTTTGAATTGCAACAAAAATCTAGGAATCACATTTAGCACTAATGTTTTATAGAGTCATCAATTACATAAGAGGGGTTTTTTTGTTTTGTTTTGTTTTTTGCTTTTTTGTTTTGTTTTTCATTCAGCGTTTCTCTGTAGCTTTGGAGCCTGTCCTGGAACTAGCTCTTGTAGACCAGGCTGGTCTCGAACTCACAGAGATCCACCGCCCAGCTGAGATTTTTTTTTCTTTTTCTTTCTCTTATTTTTGTTTTGTTTTTTTGTTTGTTTGGTTGTTTTTTTTGGGGGGGGGTTTGGTTAGTTCTTTGTTTTTTAAGACAGGATCTCACTATGTAGCCCAGGTTGTCCTGAAACTCACTCTGTTGACCAGACTATTCTCGAACTTGCAGAGATCTGCTTGCCTCTGCCTCCCAAGTGCTGGAATTAAAGATATGTGCCACAATACCTGGCACATTTTCATAATAACTAGCTTTAAGAAGAATTTCCTGAGCGGTAGGTTATATAGCCATTACAAAAAAACTAGCATGGCAAATTGCTGTCATTAAGGAATCCTACCAAAGGTCTTTGGGAAGCATAGACCCGGGCCTCTAAAAGCTTATACTGGGTGTCCTCATTTGAGTCAGGGTCTACACAGGGAACACAGAGAAAGCATGGTGACTGGAGGACTCTGGCACAGCTTATCAAGTGTATGGAAGCTTACAAATAGTACATACCAACTCAGGAGTACCAGTAAATAAATCAAAAAATGGTTATGTGAGTATAATCCATGTTCCAGTCTTTTAAGTTGATGTAGCCAAGAAAATGCATTTGGGATTGAAGCGAAGCATCTCCTTTCTGCCTCAGAAAGATTGCAATAGTTTCTGTCTTGTAATAGGTTATAATTACTTATTGAGTGAAAAATGACTAAATAAGGAAACAGCAAGATTTAATAAGCAGTACACATGAGGACTCTTTATGCAGTCTTTTAAATGGTCTTTCTTTTTGGAATGTATGCTTTAGGCATGGAACCATAGTCCCTTTGTTCTAGGTCTCCTGTAATCATGCCTCGTTCTTTCGGGAAGCTGGCATTCTTAATACTATTTCAGCATCATTTTTCATTACACTACCAAGCGAATTTCTGGGTATTGTTGATGTGTCCTGTGGCTATTGTATCACCTGCTTTAATTTGTAATATAATTGAATGGCTGTATTTTGAATATGCCCATTTAACATGTTATTTTTACATAACCCTATGCAAAAATACCTAGTCTATTTTCTGAATTGCTGGGCCACAGATGTTGCTGTGGAGTGTTGCCGTAAGTTTGGCTTTACAGAAAATAATGACTGTATAACTGTACATTGCTCCCTGTTCTTCTTAGGTGATTGTCACCAGCAGTGGAAAATACAATGAGCTTGGATATCCATTTGGTTATTTAAAAGCTAGTACGACTTTAACTTGTGTAAACCTCTTTGTGATGCCTTACAACTACCCAGTTTTACTTCCTCTTTTAGGTGAGTAAAATATGTGCTACTTAGTCACTTTTAAAATATGGCAAAAAAAATACCTGGTAGATAAGAAATTAACGAGCAGTTAAAATTCCATCGCAGAATAACCAATACTAGCATAATAAATGTGTGAAAACTAATTTGGAAAGCTAGAACTTCGTTTTCTTTGACTTTCTTCTTGTTTTGCTTATAACTGAAATAGATGAGATACCTGACCTTAACTGCTCCTCACGTTTGCAAACTCCATTAATCACCCTCTTTTCTCCAGTTTTGAGAATCTTGGCTTTTCTGTAGATGAGTTCGAATGCCCCCAGAAAACTAGATGGGGTGTGTGTGTGCATGCACGCGTGTGCACACTTAATGTAAGTGTGTGTGAAGGCCATAGGTCGATGTCAGATGGGTTTGTGAATCGCCTTCCACTTTGGTTTTTGAAACCCAGTGTCTTGGTCTATCTGGAACTTGCTGAATGACTATCTGGAACTGTAAACACAGCACTTTCCCAAATGTCTCTCTAGCTCTAAAACTAGGGCTTTTGTTGGAGAGGAATTGGATGGCTTTCGTTAGAAGCCAGGGCTTCTGTGAGGCTACTGACTGTACTACACTCCTTTCTCCACAGAATATTACATACTTTAAAAACAGAGTGAAGAAGAAAGAGAGGCACAAGAGTCAATTCAACTAAGCAGGTTTAGAAGTTATGGATTGATTTCATGACAAAATTCTAAAGGAACAACTTAAGTAGCCATTACTCGATGCTGTTAAAAATGTGTACTCTTTATTTGGAGAGCGGTATCTTTTTAGAGTAATATACTTCATTACACCCTCCTAGTTGTAAAGTTTTGAGGATCTTTTGGGGGGATGTGAGGGTTTCTAAGTTTCTGCTTAAAAGATGAAACCTTTAAAAAATTTGATCACAGTACTATTAATGTACGATGAATTTAAAAGGCAGTATTTAAGTTCCTATTTAAGAAATTTGAAAGTAGCAATCAGCATGATTGCTTTGTATATTTAAGTTATTTTCTTTCTTAGTCCAGCCTGAACATACGTTCTTTCTAAGAGTATAGGCTGTATGTTAGAGGACGGTAAGATTACAATAAAGGGGCAGGGGAGGTGGCCCAGCCTTTAAGAGCCCTTGCTGCTCTTCCAGAAGACACAGGTTCACCAATTTACAACTACCTTGACCTCCAGTTCCAAGGAATCTGACATCCTCTACTGGCCTCTGAGAGCACTGCATGAACGAGATGCACAGACATACATGTTGGCAAAACAGCCAGATGCCTAAAATAGAAATAAATAAGTCCTTCTTAAATTACTAATATATCTCTATTTTATGTATTAATCTATCCTTTTTTTCAAATATGTCCTCAATTTCCACGAATACATAGTAAAGACAATAGAGTAATCTTCATTTAGACTGTTGTTATTTTTCTATTTTTCAGTGTCCTTTTGATCCACTTTATTGCACTGGGATTGGCATACAAAAAGCTACACATATTTAATCTCCAGTATTTGTGAGTGTACAGCAATGAAACATCACTCCAATTTTTGCCCTAAACACGCCCTATTCATGTCTTTCAAAAAGCTTCCCTTTTGTTGTTATTTTTATAATGAAAGTATATGCCGTAAGATCTATTCCCCGAGTAAAATATTTATGTACAAACCACTCTTGCTAACTATTGGCACTGTGCTGGAGAATGTCATGCTAGGAAACCAAGGAGACTCAGAAAGACAAATAATACATGATAGTGTTTACATCTCTAGCTTCTTCTCTGTCTTATGGTACTGCTTATTGCCAGCGGGCCTCAAGCTCTCTATGCGGACAAGGATGGAAATAGTAGAGACTTTTAGATGTAAACAGATCAGATAAACAGAATAAGTAATACCTTTAGTTTTTATTTTCTTTTTAAGAATTTATTATTTGCAGCTGGAGGGGCGGTACTGGAGAGATGGCTCAGAGGTTAAGAGCGCTGACTGCTCTTCCAGAGGTCCTGAGTTCAATTCCTAGCAACTACATGATAGTTCACAACCATCTGTAATGAGATGAGATCTGGTGCCCTCTTCTGCTCTGCAGGCATATATGCAGACAGAACACTGCATCCTAAATAAATAAATAAACAAACAAATGAGAATTTCTTACTTTATGTATAGAGGTGTTTTGTCTGAATGTCTGGTGCCCTCTTCTGTCTTGCAGGCATACATGCAAACAGAACACTGCATACATAATAAATAAATAAATTAGAAAAAGAGAATTTATTTTCTGTATAAGAGGTGTTTTGCCTGCATGTTTGTCTATGTACCACATGCATGCGTAATATCTACAGAAGCCAAAAAGAGAACTTCAGATTCCCCTAGAACAGCAGGTATAGAAAGTTGTGTGCTCTTCTGAGCTGAGACTCAAACCCGGATCCTTTGGAAGAGGAGCGAGTTAGTGTTCTTTATCACTGAGCAATGGCAAATGCTTTGCCTCGAAGCTGATGTAGTCTATGTCTTGTCTCATTTTTTTTTCCAGTGCTGGGGATCAAAAACAAGCCATTTCATAGACTAGACAGGTGGTATACCCCTGAGCTACAGCCCAGCTCTTGTAGACTTTTCAAACCTCCACAGAATTCCCAAAAGACTTAAGAACCAGCACAGGATAGCAGGGACTTTCTGTAGCTTTCTGTCAAGACAAGAGTTGTGTGTCAAAAGCCTGAGGGCTTCCATCAAGGACACCTTCTGATTTCTTTTGCTTTCTACTGCCAAAAAATAAAAAGAACAAAATACCTACTTTTTATGACTGTAAATTTATTAAAATTTGTTTCACAGGGAGTAAATAATTTATTAGGGTAATAAAAAGAAGAAAATATCCGGTTGCTTTTCTTAACCAAAGTACTTTTTAAAGAATAGACCTATTTGGAGAGAACATATGCATTTTTTCCCTCTGTAAGTAAAATATTTGCCTAATGGAGCTTAGAGGAACAATACAGGATGACCTGATACTATCTGCTGTCTTTACAGTACGGATGGATGGCAGGTAGATTTGATAGCTGGGGATACCAGTTTGAATTAGTAAGGTAGAAATCTTTTTCTCACACTTGGAAGGAAATAAAGAGGGTGTTTGTAAGTTTTCATGCCATATGTATAATATGTATTTTTAGAGTACTAAAATAATTATATTTATATTTTAAGAGATAGGCAATGTCTGCATATTTAAGGGAAATATCTAGAGTTATATTGGTGCCCATGGTGTTCAAGAGTCATATTAAGCCAGCTGTGGTGGTGCCCCATGATCTTTTTTTTTCAAACATTTTATTTTTTGCTTTATAAGTAATACCATTCAAAATTTCCACCTCCTCCATTTCCCTCCCACTCCCCCACTCACCCTCCCCCTTCCCCCTCCAGTCCTAAGAGAGGGCAGGGTACCCCACGATCTTTAAGTTTAAAAGAGTCTTCAATTGAACTATTGTAACTTGAAGACCATCTATCTATATGGAACTTTGGTAGCTACAACGACCAGGAAAGACAGCCAGATAAATTGCGATGAATGTTCATCTGGCCTGAATCAGCTCCTATTTCTACATGTTAGTTGCTTGATTTTAGATCTTGTAAGCTGGCTCTGGACTAACATGATCCCTTGGTTTTGTGTTACAGATGAATTGTTTAAAATTCACAAGCTTAAGCCAAATGTGAAGTGGCGACAGGCTTTTGACGGCTACTTAAAAACCCTGCCTCCGTACTACTTAATAGTATGTATTTGTGTGTGTACATATATATTAACTGGCCCTGATGATTCTTGTCGTAAGAAATAAGGAGTCCAAAGTTTTACCCCTGCAAGAAGATTAACTCTTCTTACTTTACGAATATTTGTGTTGCCACTGTCTTCTCGAGCCATATGAAAGAGTTTGGAGATGAAGTGGCCGCACAAAAAAGCATTCATTGTGCTTCTGTTTCCTTTAGTTTTAACTGCCATGGTCATTGTTATGAGCACATCTATGTTTCTCTTATTAAAAACTAACCTTATAAAACTGTAGTTCTGGAATGTAACAGCAAATATGTCTCAATTCATGTTACATCACCTTCCCTTTTGAGCTCTAGAAACTCAATGTGGCTTTTCAGTACATAAACAAAACTTGGAAGAAATTAAATTACATCCTGACACCACATGATGGGGGGGGCATTGGCGATAGAGAAGAAAGCATGACGTGGCCTCATTCTGGCTTTTATACTTTGAGAAAATGATCTGAACTCGTCATGTAATCCTAATGGAGACGATCGAGGCCGTTTCAGGGGTTGCTGTCCTAACTTAATGCCAAGTTTCTAGAGGTGAAAAGGCAGAGTCTTCGAGGGGACCATTGGTGTTGCTGGGAGGGGAAAGTGGGCTGTGTTGCTTTTTATCATGGCAAGTGTGGGCTCTGCAATCATATGCTATGGGAAGTGAGTCGATGTTGGGGGTTAAGACCGAAAGCAATGTACTTGTTTGAATTGGCTGCTAGTTGCTCTTCTTATCCATTTTCTTCTGATTTTTTTTCTGCTCCTTACTTCTCTGCTATTTTCATTGCCACTTTTTAATGTTCCATGTTTGGTTTTATGTGCAGCACCTTGACTTCTAAGAAATGAATCATGTCCCCTTGCCCCTTATAACTGAACTTTTGAGTATTTAAGATTTATTCTATTCTTACTGTTGTGTATTTTGTTTCCTTATAGCCATTAAAGAAAGCACTAAGGATGATGGGAGCTCCAAATCTGATATCAGATAATTTAGATTGTGGACTTAGTTACAGTGTTATCTCTTACCTTAAAAAACTCAGCCAACAGGTAGTATTGGTAAAAACGAACAAACCAAACTCCTTTGCCCTCAGAAGTGCATTTCCTTATTCTTTAGTGTAATTGTAACTTTTCAACTTAAATGTGTATATATCTCTACACTTTATGGATTAGTAATAATGTGATTCTCTATGGCTTCTAGCTTCACCATTAAATGCAGTTAAGGGTCTGTCAGTATCATTTGATGCTGTGCCATTTCTCCTTCTGCCTGCCAGTTTCATATGCTGGCTGATACTTTGTGGCCGAAGAGGGGCAGAGGCTTCATAGGGTTCTCTTGTGGGTCATATTTTGTCTGTTCTCCAACTAGTTTCTCCTCAATTCACTTGCCTAGAGCCTCCCCCTTTTGTGAGTCAGCACACCAAGGTCTGGTGTGGTTCAATATGCCTTGCCTGAAATCGCTTTCAGGCAGCATGTTAAGTTCTTAAACTCACATGCTAGCCCTTAAATAAACAACTGCCTGCTTTTCCCTGGAGAAGCGGCAGGGCGGACATGAGACCAGTGTTCTTCAACCTGGAGGGTGATAGGCCCCGAGGGGAGCAGAAGAGTGGAGTTCTTCCTCCTCTCTTGCCCTTGTCTATTCCTTTAGACCCCACCCCATTCACCATTATTCACCTTGTCCCTTGCCTGACCCTCTCTATTAGTACCTCATCTTCCACTCAGCCCTCCTTATCATATTTCTCACTTGTACCTAGACCATTCTTGTAGGATGGAGATAATTGGAAACTACCGAGTTAGAGCGCTGCTGCATACAGTTGTGTTCTGCGATAAATTAATGCAGCAGTGTAACGCTCTTATTCACACATACATTTTTTTTTAAGTAGGAAGTAGCATTTGCAGCAACTACAGCATTTCCAGCTGAGTCTGTTTGCAAGTTTGGCCTTTAGAAAACTGAATATTACACAAAGTATCTCAAATTTTTCTAAGGGACCTATAGGCCTACATAGTTGGGATGCTGACAGGCCTTGCTAGGAATGACCAAAACCTTAAAGCACCTTCTAAAGCTTACAGAAGCATACTAGTCCAGCGTGCTCATAAGTGCAAAAGAAAATAAAGACAAGCCCAGATTTTTGACCTAACAAGTCCCCCTAACCCGCATTCCTCTCTGCTAATAGATTTTTGTTGTTGTTGTTGTTGTAAAGACCTTGGTTATTTATCTTTCTATTGATCTATTGATTTTTTTTAATTTGATGTTTATGTTTGGCCTTTAAGGCTTTGTCAGGGTATGGCCACAAAGGAATAAAAGTGGACAGAGTTGAAATTAATCCAAGTGCTGGGACCTTCTGGGACAACTGTATTCTTTTATTGAATGAGCTTTCAAAGTCATTCAAGGAAACAGACCCTGTATCTACTATTGTCTCATATTTCATGACTTAAGAATTTGCTGAAGCATATATATTCCAAATAATGACTTAGGAAAATAAATATCTCTGGCCAATACATAAGAAATAAAAAATTATTAAGCTTATTGAACATTGATGGAATTTTGTCTTTTAGAAAAAGAAAAGATTATTGCTAATTTCTGTTTCTCTTATTGCTAATTTAATATCTATATCACTGGTGTTCCTTGAACCATCTCAGATGTATCTAAAACACAAAATATACCAAATGCTCTGCTTTAACTTATTCAAGGAAAATTAATTGATACAATGTCTATTAAGGGGATTTCCCAGTGTTTGTGAATGATAAACTTGCTGAGTAGACATTAAAAATATTTGCTTAGTAACATTTGTTAAATTAAGCTTTATTTTTATAAGATTTATTGGATAATATAATTTGTTTAAAAAACATTTTTAATGTTTTCAAATACAATGCCAGTCTATATGATCTGAATTTAAGCAATAAGTTACATGTATGAATATAGAGTTTTAAACCTTTGTGTCTGGATGCAAACCAAATGTGTTGAATTAGATTAGATTTTGCAGTAACAATATGTGCTTTTTCATGTCTATGAATGAAATTCTTGCCCATGGTTTCTATTTACTCCATGATTCGTTCATAGTTTTGACACTAGCAAAGACAATTTGCATGAAGTCATTTGTCTTTCCAGTCCCCTCTGTGTTTGCCGTGGTAGAACAGAGAAGCATAGGGAACTGTGATTCGCACATGAAAAGTGTTCAGGGTGGTTCTTAAAGTATTTTTCTTAAATAATAAAATGGTGATGATGTGGTAGATATTTAGATAACATGTTCTGTCCTTTCATTTTAGACCAAAATAGAGTCCGAGCGAATACTAGCATCAGTGGGGAAGAAACCCCCCCAGGAGATTGGTATCAAAGTGAAAAATTATTCTGCAAGTGGCCTGGCCTTGGCTCACAATAAAAACTTTAGAAAACTGTTGAAAGAAATCATAGGGGAAAATGCACCGAGACTGATGGAACTGACTACCAAAGAATTTGCTGGCTTCCAAATAGGGCTCTTCAACAAGGTAACTTGTGCCACTAAAAGGCATCCTTAATCTGACTTTGCCTGGTTTGTGTTGCTTTAGTTTGAAATAATGGCCTATTTCGGAGTTGTTATCATCATCATTAGTAGTAGTGGTTGTTTTGTTAGTTGTATTTTGCTTTATTGAGACAGGGTTTCTCTGTGTGTCCTGGGACTAGCTTTGTAGACCAGGCTGACCTTAAGCTCAGAGATCCGCCTGCCTCTGCCTCCGAGTTCTAGGATTAAAGGTGTGTGCTACCATGCACAACTTGGAATTAATGATTATTAGTGAAACTATCTTGAGATTATTCTGCCAGCAGATACCAAAATGAAATTAAACGTACTAGATATATTGGTTGGTAGGAATGGGAAGTAAGCAGCTATAAAAAGTAAACTAGAAAGGAAACTGCAATAGGCAGGCCGCCATGTAGATCTAGCACCTACGACAGACAGACTAGTAGCAAGTAGGTTCCGTGCAGCTTAGAGAATGCCTCAGCCAGACCGCAGGAAAACTCTGGCCCCGTGCATTCTCGCGGAGGAAGCATGCATGCATTCTTGCGGAGGAAGCGTGCATTCTCGCGGAGGAAGCGTGCATGCATTCTTGCGGAGGAAGCGTGCATTCTCGCGGAGGAAGCATGCATACATTCTTGCGGAGGAAGCGTGCATTCTCGCGGAGAAAGCGAGTGGGATCGGAGCTGGCCCTCCCTGCTGTACTTGTCAGGCCCTGGCCATCAGCACCCTGGCTCATGCTCAGGGATGCAGCAGACTCCAAAGGCACTGCAGCTGGGCCTGCAGCCAATGTCACTGGCTGTGCAGTCTGCAGTTGTCATCCTGCAGTGAGACTCTTGCAGCCTACCTCCCTGACTGCAGGGGGAATCAATCCAGGTGACAAGCAGCAGTCCTGCCAGACAGCTACAGACAGGCATATATAAACCTTGGGATTTGGAGTTTTAAATGATAGGCTTGAAAATTATTTCCCCAGTGATTTTAATGACTTCTGGATATGTTAGCATTCAGAACAAGAAACAGAAGGTTTTCTACTTGGAAAAATTAGCAATAATCGGCTGTATTAAATATCGTTCTCTTCAATAAGATTTTAAGAGGCTTAGGTATTACATTTTGTTATTTAAAAGCCTTAGGAGTAACTGAGATTGTTTCATTTAACATAGGATGTGAAACCTCAGACATATAGAAATGCTTATGATATTCCACGTAGAGGACTTTTAGACCAGTTGACCAGAATGAGATCCAATCTACTGAGAACACGGAAGTTCATTGTTGGACAAGATGAAGGTAACCTAACAGTGGAATGCTCTTAGGCTAATAGCAGACATGACTTGCATGACAGCGTTTATTGCAGAATTATTTTGTTAATGCTCATAGTATTCCCATTCACTCAAGCCCCCCCCCCCATCTCCCTGGTTCTCTTCCCCTCAGGTGTGTATTAATCAGCATGCCATACCGCCATCGCCATTGTTCTGCGTGCTCGCTCTTGCAAGTCTCAAACTCTCAGCTAGACACTGACTTTATGCCCAGCTGATAGGCACTGAAATGAAGAGCAAGAACTGTAGTAGCTTGCTCAGGCAGGGTTAGCCCATTGCAAAGTGGTGGAACCTAGGTCTGTCAGATTTCCAAACCTGTACACTCAGACATTGATCATGCCCAGCTGCCTCTGGAAAAAGTCAGCTGTGAATACCTACTTCCCTCAAAAGTCATGAACTCCAGATAAACAGGAATATTGTGATGGTTTGCAATTTTTCTTCATTTTATTTTGTTAATTTTGAATGGGTTTACTTATCCACAAAAAAAAATGAGTTAACCCCCTAGCCAAGTCTCTGATATTATACTTTGTGTGTGTGTGTGTGTGTGTGTGTGTGTGTGTGTGTGAACAGAGGCTTCCTAGGAAGACAACTTTTATATTTAATCAAATCCTCAGAGGGTAATATTTTCTTTGTGACAAGAGAATACCATGAGGAGCTGGGCATGGTTGCTCAGTACTCAAGAGCCTGAGGCAGGAGGAGTCTATGGATTTGAGTCCAGCCTGGGCTAAAGAATGCAAACCTGCTCCAGAATACAGAGAGAGGGGCTGTAGCAGTGGCCCACTGTTGAAGAGCCCTGGTTACTCTTACAAGAGACCCCGTTTCAGTTCCCAGCACCTACATGTTGGGTAGCTTTCAACTGTCCATGACTTCAGTTCCAGGGGATCTGGCACCTTCTTCTGGACTCTGCAGACACCAGGCCTGTGTGCAGTGCACATATGTACCTGAAAGCAAAACAGACACATAAAATGAACATGAATCTTTTTATAGAAAAAGAGAACACTAGAACACCATGGAGCCTCAGTGCTTCAGAGTGCAGAATGTCAACAGGGTTTTGAACTCAGATGATGGCATGCATGAGGCCAGCCCATTTTTATGCGGTGTTGGAAGGTAAAGGAGTTTCTAGTCCTTGTGAAGTGAGCCCGTAGGCAGTATAGTGACTGTAGACCACTGACTGGTATAAATGATGATGATGCTAGATCCTACAGGTGGTGGTAGATCCCGGGATACTGGATTGGAGATTTCAGACGATAATGCTAAACTACACATTGCTGAACCAGCTATGACAATGTCCTTTCAAAAGGACCATATACTTCAGCTCTAAGTATTCGTTTCTCTGCTGCTGATTTTGCAGATTCACTTCATAGTGTCCCAGTTGCACAAATGGACAACTATCAGGAGTATCTAAAGATGCTGGCTTCACCACTCCGAGAGATTGATCCGGATCAACCAAAAAGACTGCATACTTTCGGCAATCCATTTAAGCAAGATAAAAAGGTAGTATACCCATTTCTGTGTCTGTGATACTTTCACTGTAACGCTATCCTTGTTAGCCAGATGTATACAAATCCGAGCTAAAAATGCCATCAGGACCTATGTGTAGATGGATCTCGCTTGTTTCCCATAATGATACTGTTGACTGTTCTGGAACATAGTCAGTAGAAGAGGCAAATGAGGCATTGGTGGGAAGCCCCCTGACTTATGCTGAGGCAGACTCTTTGAAGGTGGCATCCCAGGCCTACATGGCTCTTTCCATGAGTTGTTCGACTGTACCCAGTTGTGTTAGTTGAATACAATAATAACTGTCATTTGTTGAGTACATAGTAGACCTTGGTGTTTTGAATGAAATATGTTCATTGATTTTTTTTAAGGGAATGATGATTGATGAAGCAGATGAGTTTGTGGTAGGGCCACAAAACAAAGTGAAGCGTCCTGGAGAGCCCAACAGTCCTATGTCATCTAAGAGAAGGCGGAGCATGCCCCTGCTGTTGAAGAAACCACAAACACCTCCTCTTGTCATCAACCATCTGGGCGGAAAGGGACTACTCTCAGCCTCATGGTTCCCATCTTGTCCAACCTTCCTCAAACCCACCCTTGTACATCCAGGTACAGAGTAGTGGTTGTTTTTACTTTGTCTGTCTTCCTGGGTTCCTTTTTTGTTGTTGATTAAGTAAACCATAATTAGAGCATCTGTGGTAGGCACAACAGGCCTTCCAGGACACAGAGACCCTGACTCAGTGGTCTTAGCCATATGAATGGAGGAAGAAGATGAATAATTGTAGTAATTAACAAGTGGTATTAATGTCATAATTGGTGATTAATACATGTTGGTACAAAAATGTGGAGTTCTAAGCATGCCTGCTGTAACCATTTGGATCAACTTCAAAAGACAGGAAGATAAACTAAGTGTCTAAGTAGGTTCACTATTAAGAGCTCTCTGTGATGTTGCCCCCTGTTCGTGACTGAACTGGTAATTCTGGGGTCTCTCTCCTTGACCCCACTGAAACAATTCTCAAGATCACTCGTGTTTTCCGTTCATTGCCTTTCCCTCTCGGTTGTTTTGGGCTCAGTTGCTCATGCCCTCCTCTATTTCTATTTGAACAACTCCTAATATTCACACCTCTAGACTACAGTTCAGTTTGTTCCTCTGCTCTCAAGCCTGTATTTAACCACAGTGTCTAACAGACAGTACTGTTTGATGTCGTACAAGTAAACGCCTGCTTTGCATCTCTCTAGAGGAGCTCTGCTGGCATCCTTCTGCATGGCAGTTAGTGAAGTTATCCCTCGCTCTACTGGAAAAGCTATGTCATTTTTAATGATTCGTAGGGTTGAAAAACCATATATTAGAATGTAGTGTTGCTCATACTGTTTTGTCAGTGCTGAGTGACTTAAAGTCACTGAGCCAGAGTCAGGAAGATCTGAGTATCACGTACTCTCATGCTGGCACCTGGACATACGACCATTAACAGGGTGAGGTAATCTGACATTCAATTCAATTCCTGCTTCTTACTATTTTTCTCCATTCCTTCACTCCATGCTTCCATGAAGTTTTACCAAGTTTTTCTTCTTAGATAGCCTCTCTGCATCTAATTCTTATTTAGTTCCTACCCATCTTCTCTCCCGATTTGAAATCCGAGTGAAGATGTCAACAGATAAATACAAGCATGCCACATCCATACAGAAAATGCATCCTTCGTATTTCTGAACCTTCAGGATACAGCCTGACTCTTCACCCTGGTCCACACAGCTCCACATAGCCTGACACCACCGTCCTCTCTTACCTCTAGTTCCAGAGCTTCACTCTGCTGCCCCTGGCTTACTCCTGCCCTCGCTACAACTTGGCATCCTTTCAGAAGATCCTGCCATCACCTGGCAGCCCTCTCTCGTGCCCTATTTCTGTCTTTCCTCAAATGAAAGCAGTTTTGAGGGTGCCGTGGCTCATTCTTAGTTCCTCTCCAATGGCCCCGTGACACTGTAGGTTCTGTAAAGGCAGGCAGGGTCAGTTCCTTTGTTTCTTGTTCACTGCAGATTCTCAGCTGCTGCCCTGGTGCCTGGCACAGTGGAAGATAAGCAAATGGCATAGAGGAATTGGCCTGAGAACGAACGGAAAAATAATTACTCTGCCGTCGAAAGGGAAACGGGCAGAATCATCTACAGATAGGCAGTTGCTTAGCAGATTGTAGTGTGGCTCCTGCACGGCTAGCTTTACCCGAAATAACAACATACAAATTGTATTCTTTTAAACACTGCTTGGCCCATTAGCTCTAGCCTCTTACTGGCTAACTCTCACATCTTGATTAACCCATATTTAATAATTTGTGTAGCACCACGAGATGGTGGCTTACCGGAAGATCTTAACCTGCGTCCATCTTGGAGAGGAGAGCTATGACGACTCCTTGATTCAGCTTTCTTTCTCCCAGCATTCTGTTCTGTCTACTCTGCCTACCTAATTTTCTGTCCTATTAAAGGCCAAGCAGTTTCTTTATTAATTAACCAATGAAAGCAACAGACAGATACAAGACCCACCTCCATCAGCAGATGAGGGCAGAGAATTTGTTCCGCCTTAGTAGGCATTTCCGTTTTCTCAGAATATTTGCTTTACCCAGGAAGCGCATGGTATGCACAATTCATAGGGGTTCAAACTCAGGGAAGGGTAGCAGTTTATATGTGACTTTGAATTCTCAGGTTGACATTAAGCCCTGAGCGCCGGGGACCTGTGAGTGCTTAGTTAGTGTCTTGATTTCTGTATGCATACATAGTGGGAAGAGTCTCAGAGCGCCGTCTGCTCTGTCCTCCTCATCATTTTCTTGAAGCTGAGGATCATGGAGGTGTACCTGTGGGACTGATATGATGTGCTCACTTCACAGCTCAACTTCTTAATTTGCTTTCCAGATGCCGCTGTCATTCATGATCTCCATGAAGAGAAGATGGAAAATGGGCAAAGCGCAGCCCATGGCTTCTTATTAAAATCTGCTCCGGCAGAGTTTATGAATGTGGCAGAAGATGGCCTTATATCCAACCAATTGGATTCACTGTCCGATGACTTTACTGGTCTCAGGAAAGACGGACTCATTCACAAACCTAGTAACAGTTTACTCCTAGGAGGAGACAAAAGCTGCGGTCTTTCTGTAGATGACAGAAAAATCGCCATGGCGTCTGCTTTGGAAACTGTGCCAAATTCAATGCAAATCACTCCTGCGATGGCACAAGGCATCAATGCCGACATCAAGCACCAGCTGATGAAGGAAGTTCGAAAGTTCGGACGGAGTAAGTGGCGATGGAATATCTCTAAGAAATGCAATGGGAGAATCCCTCTTGTATCATTCTCGAGAGATTTCTACTGTTGGTTTTGAGACAGGCTCTCATACAGCTCAGGCTGGCCTCGAACTCTCTACGTGGTCCAGACCGCTGATATTGCCTGATCTTCCTGTGTCTAACTCACTCTATAGTGCTCACACTACAGGGATATGCTGCCACAGTCAATTAAGGCGGCGCTAAGGATTGGACCCAGAGTCTCATCCTTGTTAGGCAGGCGGTCTACCAACTGAGCTCTACCCTAAGTTCCAGAGTAGAGTCTGGCCATACAATTTTTGGTCAGTCTTGGGCTTTCACATGACTTAAAGTGATTCTTCTGGCCTTAACTTATAGTGGTTTCATTTTGCTGCTTTAACAAGTTACCAGATGCCCATCGCTTTGGACAGTACAAGCTGATTACTTCACAGCTCTGCATTTCAGACTATTTTTCCCTGGACTAAAGTGAAGGCAAGCTGGCAGGCCAGTGCTGCTTCTCAGGGATAAAGGCAGAGTCTGTTTCCTTGCCTTTTCTGGCTTCTGCCGGCTGGCTGCATTTGCTGGGCCCGTGGTCCCTTCCTGCATCAACTCAGCAGCAGAATACTTTTTTCCTTTGGCTTCCACTTCTGTTCTTAATGTCTTTTCTCTCTGACCTTTAAGATTCCATTTGTTAGCCAGGTGGTGGTGGCATACACCTTTAATCCTAGCACTGGGAAGATAGAGGCAGATAGATCTCTGAGTTCGAGGCCGGAGAGAATTCCAGTACAGCCAGGACTACACAAAGAAACCCTATCTTTAAAAAAAAAGGAAGGAAAAAATTATAATCTTAGATTAATCTTTGAGATCTGTATACAATAGATTTTGATCATATTCATCCCCAACTCCTCTCTTCTAGATCCACCCCACCTCCCACTTTCTCAACTTCCTCTCCTCTATTTTTAGTAACTAGTTGAATCTACCATGCACTCCTGGGTGCAAGGTCGTCCACTACCATGGGCAATACTCTCAAACAAATTGATTCTCCCTCTTCCAGAAGCAATCAAATGTCTATACTATTCCATCTTAAAAGGATATTATGGCTACTTTAAACCCTGTGCGTAAACCGGGACAAACGCAATATCCATAATCTAATTCCATCAGCATATAAAGCATATATGGAAATAAATTCACAGGCTTCATGGGTTAGGGCAGTTTGGGGCAACCAGTGTTCAGTGTACCTCATTTGAGTACTGTTTATAAGAATTTCTCTCATGAATGTATGTAGACATTTTTATTTTAGTGTTTAACATACCAGCTGTGCTTATGACTTTCTACCTATGAGGAATGATTTCTGAGGACGCATGATTGAATTTTATTTCTCATTCATATTTTTATAATACTGAATTTTGTACTATCACCAGAGTATGAAAGGATTTTCATTTTGCTTGAAGAAGTGCAGGGACCTCTGGAGACGAAGAAACAGTTTGTTGAGTTCACCATCAAGGAAGCTGCAAGGTGGGTGTAAACGAAACTTCTAAAGGTTTTCTCATTGTTTTGGGTATTGTTTTTCTTTTCTTTTGTTTACTTTAGTTGTAGGATCCAAGGAAAGACAAAGAGGGGAATAGGCTCTGCCTTAATCTGTGAAAGAAAACACTTGTCCCCACTCAGAGTTAAAGCTGCTTCCTACCGTGTTCAGATGGAAAGACCAGAGTCCTGATTCATGGCTCCTAGCTTGTGTGTGTGTGTGTGTGTGTGTGTGTGTGTGTGTGTGTGTGTGTGTGTGTTAGAATGGCCCTCACATTTGCTAAGCCATACCTTTGCATGAGAGTGACTTACACTTCCTTTGGGTTGCACACTACACAGCACTCTGCACGCTGTCAAGTCTTCTATGATGGTCAATAATATTTCTTTTTATTTTCAGGTTTAAAAGAAGAGTCTTAATTCAGTACCTTGAGAAGGTACTAGAAAAAATAGATTCCCATCCCCTTCTTAACAATGTGAATCACATCAACAGCAGATCATCATGTTAATACCAAGACAAGTGAGGAAAAAGAAACGCCTTTTCTGTGCTGTAGGCTGGAATGGGACCTTCCTGAAGCCCTCTAGAATGTTTGAGTGAAGGGAATGAATGACCTAACTCAGGCTAAGAAAAGCGCTTGACTAGAGCTTTTAATGATTATCTGGAAGTAAAGCTGGGCTTCTGCCTTAAGAGTTATAATGGAAAGTATTTTTTTATTTCATTGTTTATTTTTCCAGTTAGGAAAAGCGATGTGAAATCACACAGCATTGCTGCTCCTGTTACAGCTAATAGAGTTCTCTCATTGGAGCGTTACCATTCCAGACGTTTTCTGAGTGGGCAGGGGCCACCCGCAAGGAGAGCACTGCCTAGTGTCCTCGTTGTGTCCAGTAGAACAAGTAGGTGTGTAGAATCAAAGTGGTCATCATGTGCTCAACAGAATTTTCCACAATTTCTAGCTGTGCCTTTTAAACCATGTAATATTCAGGATAGTTGGAATCAAAGAGTAAAAAGCTGCTATTTAGGTAACTTATTTGTCTCTGGGAAGGGGCAGGGAGAGTAACCAAGCAATCTACCTCCAGTGCTCTTCCATTGTGTCTAGAAAGATTGCAGAGTGCACCTGAGGCTTCACTGACCTCTGACACTTGTTCTTGCATGTGACAACAGAAAGTCTTCAGGTAGACTTGGACATTTTGTGCTTTGGAAGCACTAAAAGGAAAAATAATATGTATATTTTCTTTGATGTTTATATAAAAATTTATATGGAGCAGTATTGTTGTTTATTTGTAAAAATGTAAGTGATCAAAGAGATTTTCACTTTGCATATATGAAATAAAATCCTTTTATTGATTTTCAAAAGTTTATTGGTAATACATTTCTAGTATGTCTCTTGTCATGGCATTCCTTTTAGAAAAACAATTGTACATTATTGTAGTTAGAATTGTCTCTGGTACGCCAACCAGCTCCCAAATAAAGAGACTTATTAATTATGAATGCTCAGCTTTAGCTTAGGCTTATCCCACTCGCTCTTTTAACTTAGTTTAATCTGTTTCTATTAATCTACATTTTGCTTCGGGCCTTTTTACCGTTCTTTCATTATGTATGACTCGATTTTCTGCTTCCTCCAAGTCTAGCTGGTTGGTTCCTAGCCTTTTCCTGGTGTCTCTTTTTCTTTCTTCCTTTATGCCCTAAATTCCTCCTCCTACTTACTTTCCCTGCCCAGAAGTCCCACTTATACCTTCTCCCTCGCTATTGCCTAGTCAGCTTTTTATTAGATCAATCAGGTGTCTTAGGCAATTAAGGTAAAACAGCAACACATTTTTTTTACATAGTTAAACAAATGCAACATATCTTTGCATACTTAAACAAATATTCCACAACACACTATCAAACAAATTAACATGTTAACAAGAGGGCCCATAAGATGGCTTAGCAGTAAAGGCTCTTGCCACCAAGCTTGGTCACTCAAATTTGATCCCTGGGACTCACATGGTAAAATGAGAGAGCCAATTCCCAAAAGTTGTCCACTGACTTTTTTAATGCACATTTTGGTACAAGCACATGTGTGTATTTACATAAATGAACGAATATTTGTTTTAAATGTTAAAGGAGTTGATCTTGGAAGCGTAACTCACAGGATTGAATGGTGATATCAGAAGGGTCTGGGGAGGCCAGGCCCTCCCAATTGCAAGTATCTGGGGAGAGAAAACTGCCAAAATCAAATTCATTGGAACTCTGAAATAAAGCCAAAGGGTTTTTCTCTTTTTTCCTTTGAAAATTTCATAAAATATAGTTTGAACATACTCACCCCTGCCAAGCCCTCCCATTCCTACCCTCTCCACCCCACATCTCTTCCCACCCAACTTTGAGATTTAGTTTTTTAATTCTTTACCCATCAAGTCCAGTATGTGTGGCCCAGATGGTCATGGGCGTGCAGCCTGACCTGGTGTGTGGTCAACTTACCCAGGAGTCCCATCCTTAAAGAAAACTGACTCTTCCTCTGCCAGCAACTATCAGATGCCCAGTAGCTCCTCAGCTAGTGGTAGAATTTCGTGTCTACCTTTCCCCCTCCGTGCTGGGATTTTGTCTGGTTGGAGCTTGCACAGGTCTTTTGTATGCTATTGCAATTGCTGTTAACTCATTTGTGTATCTGCCCTTTATGTCTGGAAGACAGTTTCCTTGGTGTTATTCTCTGGCTTTCATGGTCTTTCTTTCCCCAAAGATCCCTGAGCATTGTGGGGAGGGATATATATATATATATATATATATATATATATATATATATATATATAATTTATCATTTAGGACTGAGTACTCCAGTCTCTTATTTTTTGCATGTTGAGCAGTGGAGTAGCTCTGTTAAGTACCATCTGCTGCAATAAACTTCTCTGATGAGAGGTGAGAGGGTGCACTGATCTACGGTATAGCATGGCATTAGGAGGAAATTTTGTACTATGTCCATTGAGAAGAATAATAGTATTAGCTTCTTCCCTAGGACCTCTGACCTATCCAGTCATAGATCCTTGGCTACTTGCACAGTACTGGGCATGGGTTACTTCTCATGGAGTGGCCTTGGGTCCAGTCAGAAAGTGATTGACTACTCCCACAGTGTGCCACCATTACATAAGTGGGCACATCTTGTCACACCCATTGTTGTAGTTTGCAGGGTTCGCATCTAAGTGAGATTTGAGGATTACTTTCTGGCAACATGCATAGCATCTTCTAGCCCCATGGATGCTAGCTAATAGGGGTGAAGCTCCCAAGTAAGTACCAGGTTGATTTTTCCATGTTCTGTGACTTACTTTAAGAATGGAATCTCATTTTCAAGTTCTGGAGGATGGCCAAGTAGTAACACTAGTCTATAATGCTTGGAAGTCTATGTCACCCCATTGAGAAACAACAAAAATGGTATCTGCTGTTGAGTAGGTTCCTTCCAGATTGAAAAAATTCCATCATTCAGGAAAGCTCCTTAAAAGAAGGTAAACAAAGAAAATAGCTTCAAGCAGTCCCTGAAACTGACCAGACTGACTAGGCCTCTCCTCATCAGAGTAAATAAGAGTCACTCTCTGGAAAGACAAGCTACAAAGAAGACCCTTGGACCAGATCGGCTGCCTGGAAGAGACAGACCAGCGAAGCTACCTGATAGAGGTTTACATAGACTGAAGCACTTGCAATGGACACTTTTCAACCTGTTGAGATGCCTGCAGGCTGTGTGGTGTGCTCCAGGTTCCCAACTTTGTGAGCTGTCACCCATGCTGGGGTGGGCTTTGGCAATGCCACTGTCTTTGAGTCATTTCTGCTCCTGTAAGTAACCCCTCGTCATATTTCTGTAAGTAATCTCAATAAAACTCAAAGGTTCATCATGTTGGACTTTGGTGGTATTTGTACTTTGGCCTGGGGTGAGTAGAGATGTGTATAGACTTCCTAGGAAAAGTCTTGTCATACAGCAGCAACACATTATTTGCTAGCATGGGGTGTTTAGTTGGAGTATTGTTCTGGGTTTGTAATAACCAAAACGAAAGTGGAATAACGTAAAAAGCTATGGAAACATAGTAGGAGAGCTTGGTGGTGCTTCAGTGTACACTTGTGCAACCCTTTTCAAGATATAGCCATGATTTTTAAGATGGCATAGTAACTGGATTTAATATAGAGACACTTTAAGTTAGCTATCTTAGACAGCAAAGAGCTAAAGGAAACACGGATAAAAAAGCTGCATAAAAGCAGGAAGATTATGTGTAAATAAAGATAATGCCAGCACTTGGAAGGCAGAGGCAGGCGGATCTCTATGAGTTCAAGGCCAGCCTGGTCTACAAGAGCAAGTTCCAGGACAGGAACCAAAAGCTATGGAGAAACCCTGTCTCAAAAATTCAAAAAAAAAGATAATGAATAGGTAAACAAAAAGAGAAAAAGCAAATAGAGGGTATGGACCTGAAAAGTATAAAGCCTGACATGGAAAATTCCCTAAGAGAGTTCAACAGCAGACCTTAGAAGACAGAAGAAACTTGTTAGAAATCATCCAGTGTGAGGTGTATAAAGAAACTGGGGTTAAGAAAAATGAAAAGAGCAGAGGATATAACTGTCCAAAGACCTGGGTTCCTAGCCTCACTACTAAAACAAAACAAAACGAAAGCAGTAAGTAGAGTTTGACAGACTCATTGTAGCCTATGGGCCTCAATCAAGCATGACAATGTATGTTTTAGTTGCTTTTCTTTTCTGTGACAAAACCCTACGACCAAGGCAACTTATAGAAGAAAGCGTTTATTGGGACTTACCATTTCAGAGGGTGATCCCATAGCCATCATGGTAGGCGCATGGCAGCAGGCAGCCAGGCATGGCACTGGAGCAATGCTTGAGAGCTTACATCCTTATCTGCCCTAAGAGGCACAGAGAACTAATCCGGAATGGTGTGGTCTTTGCAAACCTCAAAGCCCACCCCTAGTAACACAGCCCCAACAAGGTCACACCTTCTAGTCCTTCCCAAACAATTCCTCCAGCTGGGGACCAATATTTACCTATATGAGCCTATGAAGCCATTCTAATTCAAACCACCATAGTGTACGTTAATAGGATTAATGGAATAAAAGATGAGAAAGCAGTGTGAAGAATATGTAAAGAAAATATTTAAAGATCCAGTAGTCCCAAACTGGAGTAAGGGGAGCGGGCCACATCCTGCCACCCGGCTAGCTTAGCCCCCGAAATAATCACATAGAAATTTTATTAATTAAATTACTGCCTGGCCCATTATATCTAGCCTCTTCTTGACCAACTCTCACATCTTGATCTAACCCATTTTCATTAATGTGTATCGCCACTTGACTGTGGCTTATGAGTCTAACCAGCGTCCGTCTCAGGCAAGAGAATCATGGTGTCTGCCACTCTGCCCTTTGTCCCAGCACTCTGTTCTGTTTACTCCACCTACCTAAATGCCGCCCTATCAAAAGGCCAAGGCAGTTTCTTTATTCAACCAATAAAAGTAACACATAGAAAGAATACCCTCCTACACCATTTCCCCTTTTTCTGTTTAAACAAAAAGGAAGGCTTTAACTTTAACATAGTAAAATTACATATAACAAAACAGTTATCAAGCAAGAATTACAGTTACAATATTTATATCTATTTTATCTTTTATCGTAACAAAGGAAAACTATAACTCTTCTTCAACTCTATCACAGACTCCAGAAGGATATAATATTACCTAAGTAAACAAGAAGTAAGCAACTTCTAAAACTCTAGAAATGACAGAGACATCTCGCTGCCTGGACAGTCACCCAAAGTTCTTCTGTACCATTGGGGAATCCATCTTCAGCCTATAGGCCCATAGTATCCAGCAGACATTTTCATGAAGCAGGAAATTTTACAGACAGTTCAGTCACTTTCTTTTGTGTCCTGCAGAATGTCTTGCAGATTCTTTCATGAAACAGGAATCCTGAAGGACCATCTCACCCTTAGGCCAATTCAGCAGTCCTCTCCCTGTGGGTTCTTTGTGTCCAGTTTATGTAACAGTGCAGGCAAGAGCAGTTTCTTGCCCAAATGGCTAACCAACTCCATAAGGAGCCTCTTCGATGCCCATCTTCCTCTTGAAGTAGATTGGTGCTGCCAGGAGCAGATGTGTCTCATTGTCATGAAAAACCCTAAGTTATTAAAACATTTTAAATGCCATTTTCTGTAGCCTTTGAAAGATATGAAGAATGCCGATCTAACTGAAATATATCTTCGTATATCTAGAAAATCTAACGTGACTACAAGCTTGACTATTATAGATGATTATCTATTAACCTATATTTTTAAATTATATGTTACATTTTTAAATGAACTGCACAATCACAAGACCTTAATCAAGATAAGAAGTATG